TTTGCATAATGGAAAGTTAGGTTTCCTCTTAAAACTGCTTAAGTAAACCATGCAACTCAAAGATGGAGTCGAAACATGTTCACCAGCTTGGCCGGCACTTGAGGTGGTGAAAGTCTTGAACACAGAAAACCTTGATAGCGTGAGGCAGCTCAGGTTTGTACCTGTTGCATACTTGTTCGCTAGTAGGATGGAGGCCATTGCTATTACGTTGGAGGCCCTATTAGGTGATAGAGTGTCTTTGCTTCGTTTCTGGACTGATTCAAGTGGATTCCTTGAGCTCACCGCATTTTTCGCTGCCACAGGGTATTTGGATTGCCGAACCTAAGGTCACTGTAGAATCTCTAAAAACCGCCTTCGAGCAGTCTGTTGCTGCTGAGAAGGCGCGATCAACGTATGCTTCCCTTCACTGTCAGTGGACATGCACAGTCTTGGGCTTCACTACTCATCACTACAAACAAGAGTTCTTGAATTTTGCCTACTATCTCTTGCATTGAACAAGAATGCAACCACCAACAAGACTGCAAGAGCTAAGAGATCCGTTTCTCAAAGACAAAGCCATCGCAGGAGGCAGTGCGATCATACAACCAAGCTCGACAGATCATAACGGCCAAGCAGAAAGAGGTGAAAGAGCCACCGGTCTTGTCGCAGCCTCAAGTCCTTGAGACGACGGAGCCGTGACGTGACGACGTTTGTGTCGTGGAGCCTTTGTGTCTTTGACCGCTCCTAGTAGCGTCCTTTGCTCCTAGTAGCGATGCCCTTTGTTCCTAGTAGCTTCTTGTTACTAGTAGCGATGCCAGGAGCCCCTAGTAGCTTCTGAGTCCTAATCTCTTAGGACTGAGCTTACACGACTGCAAAAAAAGCTCGCGGCAGCTCATCAAGAGATGATCAAAAGCAGGCGAGGGTCTTGGGAAAGCGGCCAAAACGGCACCTTTGATCGGATGAAACCACACGGAATGGAACTGGTCACGACCAGTGTAGTGGATCGCTAGGTTGGAGGCCATCGCTAGTAGGTTGGAGGCCATCGCTACTAGTGTGGAGGCCATTCCATCCAAATTCTTGCAGTTGGGGGTGCTGAAAAGGCCCAAACAGAACAAAGGTGTGCTTCCACTGTGAGGCAGTTGGCCAAAGGAGGAGATCAGCTCATCAAGGGCAAGAAGGCAATCCCCAGCTGCCGTAGCTGCCTAGCTCTTCCCGCTTCTCTATATGTTTTTTTCACAATCCTTTTGCATCTCATTTCTTTTCAAAGACCTTGAGACCATTTTTCCTTTCTTTCTATATTATATCTATCTATTTCTTTTTCTTTTTCTTTTCTTCTTCCTTTTGCTTGTTGTAAAGGTTAGCCTTTCGACAGGGCAGGGCAAGAGCTTCCTTTAAGACCTTTTGGGCCACTTTTGGGCTCCTTCGTCCTTGCTGGTCGTGACGTCTTCATGGTCCCCTCACTCCTCTTCGCTTATTGTTCCTAATAGCTTCTTGTTACTACTAGTAAGGCACTTGTTACTAGTAGCGATGCACTTGCTACTAGCTTCTTGTTACTACTAGTAAGGCACTTGTTCCTAGTAGCGTGGCACTTGTTACTACTAGCTTCTTGTTTCTACTAGCAATGACCTCCAACCTAAATAGTGAGAGCCTCCACCCTAGTCGCGATCGCCTCCAACTTAGTAGCGATGAAAGAAGAGAAGAAGGCAAAAGAACGGAGGTAGAAAGGACTTTCTTGGAAGCTAACGTTCCGCTTCTCCAGATCTTCAATGAAGAAGAGAAGAAGGTCGTGGCAATGGAGCAAGCCGTCGAGCGGGTCGGCAGCCTGTGCTTTTCATTTCTGATTGTGTGGTGTTTGTTTTCTGATTTTCCCTTGAGTAACATGTAAATTGGTCTGGCGGCATCAACAACAGGGCAACTTCGCATGGCTTTCGTAGAACATGCAAATGCAAGCTTTGTGGGAGGTAGAAAAGCAAATGCCGGCAGAAGATCAGGAGTACAGCAAGGAGGAGCCTTTGCTACCATTAACTTTTCAGTGTCAAACAGACATGCTACAAATCCTTTGCTATGTTCACTTGCGATGGCCTCCAACCTACTAGCAATGGCCTCCACCTTGACTTGCAAATGATCACTCCCCATGAACACTCTGGAGCTGCCCAGTCTGCTATTTGCAAAATAACTCAAGGGAGATGATGAAAAGACTTGGGAAACATTAAGTTTCCCAAAACATCGAACCAAACGAGGCGTGACGCGTGAGCTATCCTGCGTCCATGCTAGTAACTTAAGTAGCTATAGTAGCTATCTCTTCCTTAATTGGGGCGCTTACTTAATCAAGTAGGGAGTGGGGGAGAGCGAGCGGGCTAAAAAGAAGTTATCTTAGATTTAGATGTCTCAACCTTGGGCGGCCGTAGCCGCTACGTAGCCCTCTTTAGGACCTCATCAACATTGACTCACAGATCAAGGCGGCTGTAACTGTTGCGAAGCTTAGATCTCCCAAGGAGTGTTGTTGGACTTTTGGACTTCCAGACCGCTTAGTGCTGGTGGTCAGTTTTCGTTCACTGAGGCTGTCAACACCAGCACACGAACTCTGGAAGCGGCTATGACAGGCCAGATTTTCTTCAGAAGAGGAATTTTATATAAAGGAAACAACCTTTTTGTTTCCTCTTTTCTTCTTCTTTTTTCTTCCGTTTTTTTTCACTGAAGACGTTTTTGATTTTTGGACATGTAAAACTTGGCTCATGCTTACGCGAGAACAGTCAAAGTGTTAGTCCAGTAGAGCGATAGGCAATTTGATACGCACTGCTTAGCTGTGGAGGGGGTTGGCCAGAGAGTCTATTAGGCTTGTGAAGCCTTCAGTCTTTGACTTGACCCATAAAAAGATGAAGGAAGGAGCCGCATGTAAAGAAAAATATGACAAGGACACTGTGAGTTTAAACAAATGGACCCACCCCTAGTAGCGATGGTCTCCAACCTAAGAGCGATGGCCTCCACCCTAGTAGCGATGGCCTCCAACCTGGGAGCGATGGCCTCCAACCCAAGAGCGATGGCCTCCAACCTAAGAGCGATTGCCTGCGTGAGCTATCCTGCGTCCTAGGTAGTAGCTTGAGTAGCTACTAGTTACCTCGGGCGCCTACTTAATTATATAAGTAGGGGGGGAGGCTTAACAAAAAGGCTCTCGAGTTTTGTTTGTGCTTCGTTCATTGACAATTCTCGTTCCAGGTGCATCCGTTGCATTGAAGACTTCACTGACCAGTCTGATGACCAAAGTCAAGGACGCTTCCTCCAGAGTAGAGAAGGCGCTTTCAGAGTTGATTCCGTTTTTTTTACTTTGCATTTGTATGTTTGTTCCGTTAATGGGACTTCACCTCCCTTCCAAGACAATCACCGTACAAGTAGAATAGTAGTTGGAAAAGACCCTTGTAGGGACAATATATATGTATATGTATCCGGAATGCAGCTTCAGCTAACTGATGGTACGGTGCTGCATAGGACTTGCCGGGATCCAATTCAGTCTTTTAGTAGGACAACTGGGTAAATGCAAAAATTGTGCATCATCATTACTTTTCTTCTTGCACACAGCATGCAGTTTCAATGGTTTCCTCCAGTCAAGTGGGCCAGAAACCAAAGGAATAAGAAACTGATAGCTTCTAAGTAACAAAACGTAGCAAGACCAGATTTGCCTGAAAGAAAACAAAACATAAAAGACTGAGCTGCCTGCACATTGATTCAAGTCATGTTCGCTGCATGATTTTCTGATGAGTGTGGATGGGAAGTGGACTTGTGCGTGACGGAAAGGGGCCCTGACAGATGCATCTGCCACAGGCTTTGTTCACCTTGCATCGGTGTGTCCGTCTGAAGTGAGTGTCTTCCAAACCTTGCAACCTACTAGCGATGGCCTCCAACCGAAGCAATCCAGCTGCTTTCCAAATAATCAGCGCAAACAGACTCCGAAGTGCTGCATTGTGGGGCAGGCTAAGCAAGCCTCAAAGACTCAGCGTGAGAAGGCCGCAGCAGAGGCAGGGGAGTGCTTGCTGGTTTCAAGAGCTTTCTCCGAAAGAGTTTGGGTCTTAGGTGTCTACTCAAAGTTAAACATGTTTCTTTCTTCAAGCAACCGTTTTTTGTGGCTACGAAGGACGATACGCGGTTTTTCGGACCAGACCTGGCGCGATGTTCGTCACCAGACCGGCCGAAGGTAGGTAGGTCCGAAGCTTCGTTCCTACCGAAGTCGAGCCAAGTTTTCGGATCACCTGCGATCGAAGAAGACAGGATCGCAAATGTCTAGAGTCTAGAGGGTTGGAGGCCACTATTAGGTTGGAGGCATCGCTATGAGGTTTCCTTTGCACATTTCTGATAGGTCGGTGAGTATTTTCTGTGAAGTGATGAGGTGTGCGATGTTTGATGATTTGTGAAGTGAACGGATGCGGACTAGGTAGGCGTAGGTTCTGCGCTCCAATTGTCGTGCCCTGATGGCCGATCGTCTCAGCATCGGGATGCCACTCATTTATCTCGCATCCATCGCTATCGCTGGTTGGAGGCTGCTATTAGGTTCCTTAAAGTCTTGTTTGCTAGGTTCTCAGTTGTCTCGCATGCGGTGCGTCTGTCAATGACCTGACCGCTCCAGGTCACGGGTCCTAATACGCGAGCCATTTTGTGCTTTTCGCAAGCTCAATTGTTACTAGTAGCTTCTTGTTACTAGTAGTAGGGCCAGGAGCCCCTAGTAGCGTCCTTGCTCCTAGTAGCGATGCCAGGAGCCCCTGGTAGCTTCTTGTTACTAATTGGTTGTTGGTGTTGTACGTTTGATTACTTTTGTGTGATATTCATTTTTCTATCCAAGTCTGGAAATCTTCAGTCGCAAGCTGCTTGTTTCCCTTCTAAACTTCCTGCAACGGCTACAAAGTTTTGGAATGCTTTCTTTGTGCTACTTGCAAGAACAATGCCAATTGATTCAATGAACATGCCCCGCATTGTTCCTCTCAAAGACAAATGGAACAGTTTTATTGCGTGACACCATAGGTTCGCCGACAATGGTCTGTTGCGCAGAGGAAGGCGATGCGGAGAACGTCATGGTTCATCCAGTTCGCAGCACGGACTCGACCAGTTCGCAGCGGATGGAAGAGATCCTTTCCCAACTCAATGCGCTTGCTGCTCGAGTTGAAATGCTCGAGAGACGTGCAGAAGGGGAGCCGGTCTCCATGCTCGGTGGAATGAAAGAGGTTGAAACGATCAAAGGGATGGACCTGAACATTCAACCGATCAGTAGCATGGCTCCCATGAAAACACAGGGATCAACTGAGTTCGAGACAGACACCAGTGTCGCCTCAGACATTACATCACAGAGATCTCCTCAGCGACGAACACTCACACAGGATCTTAGCCGAGCAGGCACATCACTGTCTGAAGTGGGTCGAGGCCGCTCCAGCCAGCTCTTGTACGAGTCCTTCTGGGATGCAACCGTCGTTTTGGGAATGGGTGACCTTGGAATGGCCACTACATTTCTGGTGACCATCGGAATTATGGTGAGCGTTTGCGCTCAGTCCTTGTTTTGCTGGGTGGTCTTTGCGGCTTTCTTGTCGCCTGATGCAAAGTATGATCCAGCATTCCTCACCGATTGGCGCCTCCTGGTGGGACATGGTGTGAAAGGCTATGACGCCAATTCCGGTTCGTCTCTCATCAGCCGGGCATGCCGAGGAAAGCCTTTTGACCGAGAATGGTGGGCTGATGCGTTGCTCAATGAGATTGATGACTACCTCACACCTCTCCTGTCCGATATGATGACTGTCGGCTTTGTGCTGAGCAGCATGGCTGTGGCAATTTGGCTTGCCTACATTGCCAAAGAGCTTCAACGAGTGGGTTGCCTGATGGCCAATGTGGCTCGTATCCCACGAGGTGCCTCCTTCATCTCGAACGAGGCCTCAGGCGGCCGAAACAGCAGCTTTCACCGGTCAGCTTCGGCTTCAAGCTTGGATACGCTGTCAAGTGGCAACACTCGTCTTGTCAGGACCTTCAGGACAATTACTCTCAGGCGCACCTCAGTGCTGCTGTTCGTCTTCACGATTCGGGCCACCTTGGCAGTGCTTTTGGGCTTTTGTGGTGCTTTGTGGCTTTGTAGAACCAGGGACATCGAAAACATCATTCAGAATGGAGTCTCTTTGGTCTTTGTCCTGGAGATTGATGAGCTTTTCTTTGAGCTCTTTGCCCCGCGTCATGCAAGCCGTTTCATCACCTCCATTGCCAGAGTTGAGACTCAAGCACGGAAGCCATGGGTTGAGAATGCGTTCAGCGTTTTGCAGTTTGCGGCCTTCTTTGTGGTCGTGGCACTTTTCGTGATCGAGGAGGTCTATGAGAATAACCTGTCGGCCCAAAGGGTGAGGGATACCATGTGTAAGGGCAATCAAGACTTCATCATTGAGTCTCATGCGACAGTGGGGCCAATCTTCCTGACGGATACAATCCCCTTCGTGGATGGTAACCTTGACAACAAGATGCTCCCTGGAATCTAGGACGGTCTTTGGAAGCTTTTTCTTGTTTATCTTGTTTCCTCTGCAAGTTTGCAAAAAATATCGATGCATCAGAACCATTTCTGACACTGGGTCAGAAGCTTTATCCTAGAATCCGAGCTTCTTATGTGTCATCGCTACTAGGGGGAGGCCATCCCTCTGAAGGTTGGAGGCCATCGCTACTAGGGTGGAGGCCATTCTTCTTATGTGTCCTTGCGTTGTGCCCATTGTTTGTGTCTTCTCCTTGCTTTGCCAAGGAATGAAACCTCTTCTCCGAGAAGTCGCTGAGAACTACAATCCAGCTGAAGCCAAGGACTGAAAAGAAAGACAAGAAGATGCACATGAACAGTTGATTATTTAGCATAGTTAAGTTTCCCTAAAAATCTAGGAACCACATGAATAGTGTGAGCGCTTATTCAAGGAAGCTCCCCCCCGCCCTCAGGCGGAGGGAGCTTTCTTGAAGAAGCGTCTTCGCTATACTGCGTCCAGTAGCTAGTAGCTATTTAATCTACTAGCCACCTAGCGACCTCCGCGGCCTACCCCCCGGGCTAAAGAATAACAAGAAGCTAGTAGAAACAATAAGCTAATGGCTTCTTGTTACTACTAGGAAGGCACTTGTTACTAGAAGCGATGCACCTGTTACTAGTAGCTTCTTGTTACACAAACACATACAAAACCACTTTTTCTTGTCTTTTCCGGAAAGGACTGGATGTGGAGAACGACCATGGAGGGTCGCGGAGAGGTGGCGGTGAAGCACACGCCCACCGTGAATGACTTCAATGCTTGGTTGTCCATGGACCAATTTCAAGTAGCGGACCATTCGACCTACGGCTTTGGCAACTGGTTTGGCAATACCTGCTTTGATCAGGGTCGGGATTTCTGGGAGGGTGATTGGCTTTGGAGTACTGCTATGGCTTTGACTGGAGCCACGGATTGCCCGAGTGCCGAAGCCTTTTGCGGACGGAAAGAGTTCCCCTTGGTGCGAATGCTTTGCCCACAGACCTGCAGATGCACCTCAGCGGACTCAGGGCAGTTTCTGTCGAATGGATGTCGACTGGGCTGCAGGGATGAAGCATCTTTCATGAACTCTTCTTGTCATGACATCCGAGTGAATGAACCGGAGCGGAAGGAAGCTTGGGACTACTACTGGAGCTTGTTCTACAGCAACAACAAAGGTCATTGGCAAGAAGATCATGAGCTCATGGTCTTTGCGAAGAATGGTTCCATGGGAGATTGTGAGATCATCACCCGAGAGGCATGGATGATCAATGAGTTCTGCTTCCACTTCCACAACGCCTGGGTGGCTCGGCGACCACTGACGGCATTTTGTCCAGAGACCTGCGGCTGCCTCCAAGAGGAACGGCCCGTCTCGCCTATTTCCACTAGTCTAGGGCCATGGTGTCCATCTACTTGCTGAGGCAAGGAGAGACTAGAAATGACTAGTGAGCTTTCTGCTCTGTTTATTTGTGGGCGACATTTGGGTCTAACCACTGCAATGCAGTGCTCTCGATGAACGCCACACACAGCAACTTGTGTAGGACAAAAAAGATCACTGTTATTTTGCATGAACTGCACAATCTACTTTCATGTATCATGCAAACTTTGGCTACTTGCATGAACTCTCAATTTGACATTGTCTGCAGGTTTTTGTGAAGGAAGCAGAACAGCAGGTAGAGAATGTGGAAGCTGCGCTCGTCAAGGTAGCAGAGGAAGAGCTCTTAGAATGAAAGCACAAGTCCCTAAGCACAGTGCGGGCGCTTCTTCAAGGAAGCTTCCTTGAAGAAGCGTGAACTATCCTGCCTCCTGTCGGTAGTAGCTACCTAGCTACTACTAGCTACCTCCTAGTGGCCTACCCCCCAAAAAAGGCAGAGTTCGAGAATGCGACAAGCAGTACTTTGTTTCATAGAACAAGCACTTTGTCACCGCCCGCGCAGGGGCGACAGCCTCAAGATCTACCCCTCACAAGTCACAAGTTGATGTCAATACCTCTTAGTACTTCATTTGCCAAAAAAAAGGGGCAACCACACAAAATATGGTCTAAAGAAACATGTTTAAAGAACAGTGTACTTCCTTTGAAGCACAACTTACAAGAATGCTGTAGTAACAAGTGCATCGCTAGTAGTAACAAGTGCCTTACTGGTAGTAACAAGAAGCTAGTAGTAACAAGTGCATCGCTTCTAGTAACAAGTGCCTTACTAGTAGTAACAAGAAGCTAGTAATTACATGTAATTACAATTCTAATTCAATTCTTCTTGTTACTCCCTTACGGCTCTTTCGGCCTGCTTCTTTCCGCAACCTTTTACCCTTTAGGAGTTCCAAGTTCGGTCTAAAGAAACGGACGGAAGAAAAAAAAGACAACGAAAGACATGATATATATATATATATATATACATAGATAACAAGTTGTGTTTTTAGAACATAGGGTGACTAAAGTGTTCAATGCTTCGCCGAAAACATCCTGCTTCCTTCTCGGTCTAAACTACCTACCCGTTCCCAACCGGCCTTAGGTGACGGCTTTTCCATGTCATTCTTGGGACCTTTGTTAGTTTCACGAAAGCCAGACTAGCCTATCTCACGAAAGCCAGAGCTGGAGTGCAGGGGAGCGAACGAAGTGGGCAGGTTCGGAGAGGCTGACCCAGAGCCTGACCAGGGGAGAGCGAAGAAAAGAGGTGAGAAAATGAGTGGTTTTCTGGTATGTTGTGATGCAAGTGATGCAATTGATGGCAAGTAGTGCATCATTAGCATTATGAGGGCTTCAGGGGGCAATGTAAACCGTCTTCTACCAATGAGGGGAAAGCCGGGACAACGGGTTCTTAAGACTCTTAAGGCACTGTGAGGGCCGGAGGGGGAACAGAATGCTGTGGGGGAAGGTGAGACAGACATAGCGGAGGAGAGTGGGTAGGAAAAGAGGATTTGCAAGAAATCTTGGAGTTGCTTGGAGAGGTAGGGCACCCCATACTTAAGAGCTGGAGAGAGAACTTGCTTGGGGGCGCCCTTTTTTCCTGGTGGAGGCAGGCGCAGGGGAGGTGGAAGTTTTTGAGTTGCTTGGCGGGGCCTTTTTTTATCGGGTGGAAGCCCATATCCTCGCGTGGCACTGGACTGGAGGTTTTTGTGACAGGCATGGCTCGGGGTCAAAAATGTATCAACTCGCTTGAACCATAAGAAGCTACTAGGAACAAGTGCATCGCTAGTAGTAACAAGTGCCTTACTAGTAGTAACAAGAAGCAATTAGAAACAAGTGCATCGCTTGAAACATAAACCAACACACCATACCAAACCTTCCCCGGACTACAGGGGTGCCCTTTTTCACTTCCACACCCCCCGACATCATACCAAAAAAGGGCACCCCCTCCCAAACCTATGTATTTTACTTTCTATTTCCACTCCTTCTCAAATGACAGCAATATCAACTTCACCACTTCCGGCTACTCTTTGTCCACTCTACCTACATATATACATATATGCATCCTCACGAAAGCCTGCCGATAGCCTCGCCCATGGCCCCCCACAGCGGGGGGTGCCCCTTTTTCACCTCCAAAACGCAGCGTTTCGCTTTTCTGCTCACGTTTTCTGTATTTGAGTGAACGCCTTGGCTCCTAAAATTACAGCTGCAGCTAGGGAGCCTCTGCGGACTTTTCTTTTTGAACAAAGTTTGGGTGGAGTGACGCCAATAACCAGAACCGAAGTTCAGGGCACTGCACCAAATGAATCTTTTGTGGAGCCGCTGACCAAGGGCTCAATGAAGGACCCCCTGCAAGTTTCGCACATGTACTGGTCGCCCAAAATAGACTGTGTAATTGTGCAGCTTGCGCCAGTCCAAGCTCCTACTTTGCAGAAAAACTAACGCAAATACAAAAGGGGAAACAACAAAATAGAAAGGTAATACATTGTTAAAAGTAGAGATGCATTATCAATCTTTTTTGACACATAAGGAGGGTATGGGGAAACGGGTTTGGCAACGTCCTTCCACGCCTCGACGCCTCGAAGTCTCGTGGCTGTTTTCCCCTTTTCGCGCTAAGAGTTCGATGAGTCACTTGTCGCTTGTCGCACTTGTTCCTAGTAGCGAACCTTGTCACTACTAGTAAGGCACCTGTTACTACGAGCGATGCCCTTGTTTCTAATCTGGAGTCAGTGATCAACGGTCCTGGTGTTTTTTGTGCCGTATCTGATGGGCGAACGTGCGATGTATCCCATCTCTCCCCACTGAAACCTTACAAGTAGAGGATGTCTTCAGCATCGATGGCTGCATGGGTTTCTGGGATTTTCTGCGAATGCTCCGAGGCTGAACTGCCATTCCTGAAAGGTATCGAGGTGGGACGTCAAAATTTTTGTGCATTGAAAGAAGGGTCTTGGCAGATGTTTCAACGCGTGTTGGTAGGTCTTAGTAAGTCCTGGCACGTCTAAGAGCCCTTCAGTCAAGTCTCACTTGGCACCATTTCGCGTCATGTGACTGCTTTCAAGGTGCTCCCACTTTCGGAAGCGTCCATTGCCATTGCGGAGTGTGAAAAGGCAGCCAAACATGTGCAGGAGGCGCTCCAAACGAACTTTTAATCACCATGCCCAAAATGAAGAGTGAAGCACTGAAGATCTTTGCATCAGTTTCGCATCCAAGGCATTGGAAAAAGCAAAGTCTTTCGTGAGTGCCAAAGTGATGGAAGTTCAACGATTTGCGGAGGCAAGGGGCGTCAGATCCAAACTATTCACTTTTGATGTTTTCCCCCGCAACTCTATTCTTTTTTGTAAGTGTTGATTCTTAACTCTCAACACGAAGCAGCTCCGTGAGTTGTGAGGTTCCATGAAGGGTTTAGGGTTCGCAGGTTTCAGGGTTCAAACACACGGTTTGGTAGAGCTGTGGCTTCCTGAAACTTGTAGTAACAAGTGCCTTACTAGGAGTAACAAGAATAATTTAATTAGAATTGTAATTAATAGCTTCTTGTTACTACTAGTAAGGCACTTGTTACTACTAGCGTGGCACTTGTTACTACTAGCTTCCTGAAACTTCTGGAGATTGGTTGTGATGTCTCAAGTGGAGACGGTTCCAGTGGGAGGTTGGAGGTGCAGGTTCTGGAGCCAGGTTCGAGAGGTTACAGGAGAGGTTCCAACTCTCTGAGACTGGGAAGGAATGGAAGTCGATTGGATTTGTATGTCTTTTCCGAATTTCTTTTTGAGGCGCAAGACAATGATCTAACTATTGGTGCCAGTAATTCTTGGAGAGGGATTCATTCATACAGGATTCTCCTCATTTGGTTTGCTTCTCAGATAGCGAATCAGTTCGGGCCAGCTTGTCAGTGGCAGTAAGCGTGAGGTTTGCTCCGTTGATTAGATTGAAGCATTTGGTGGACATTTCCACCCAACGTGCTGCACACGTCTTGACATCAACGCCTTTTTATATAACACATGGGTGTTTGAGTTAGCAAAATGGGTCAAACATGTGTTCTGGTTGCTGAGGGAGAGTGATGATCTAAGAACAGTCTTGTTAGCATGTTATTTTCAAGAATATTCATTCTAGTAGCATGCTTGACTGCAGCATGCTTCGGTTGGGGCAGTGCAGAGGTCTTGCTTTGAGCGGTGTCAACGCCGTTGCAGGCTGCTGCCAAGCCGTGTTTGGAAAGGCTGAATGGATTGGTGGAGCGCAACAACGTGGCCGTGCCATGTGTTGAGGGGAAAAACTCTAACCCACATAAAAACGGGCTAAGGCGGAACTTTTGCAAGAAGGCTCTGGAAAAGTTTGCATCTAAAGGGTTGGGATCCCATATTTCTGGCAAGAATACTTCAGCCGATGGAACTGAAAAGGTCTTGAAAAAGATGTACTTTGTTTGCCAGGCGGCAGCCACCAAACTGACCGAATTCCGCACACGGCTCGTGGCACTTTTCTGTTCGTCTCCACAGGCTCAGTAGCCGCTCAGTCTCGTTTCGTATGGGACTGAGGCAAAGACACTGAGAGTCACAAAAGAACCTCTCAAATGCAGGAGGCAAGAACACTGATGAGAACTGAGTAAACTGATCGTCCAACCGTTTTTTTTGACTTGTTCTCTTGATTCCTTGGACTTTTAAACCACTCAACACACTGAGATGCAGGCTGAAGAAATGCTGAATGCAGCCGAAGCAGAGATAGAGAAGACGCGCGAGGCAACATCGGCACACTCATACAGCTCATACGCTTTTGTAGCAACCCCCCTTTTGTTGAATGCAGTTTAGTCCACAACATTTCGCGGTTTCGCCCATCAAGAAACATAGTTTTTCTTTTTTGCCAGCACAAACAATCAGAAGCAACAAGTTTTCTTCTTGATTGTTTTTGTTCATATCTTTTTCTATTTATTCTTTTTCTCTGATTGTCTAGCCTCTCTTTCTGTGTAGGCCGGTGCTCCACTATCGGCTGAGGAGAGCTGTGCTTTTAGATCTGCAGGGGAGCAGCTTTAGGATTTTCTGTTCTCACCTTACAACATAAAGATTTGCCGTCTCAATGGCAATTGCAGCAACGTTTCAATGGAGTCCAAAGCAGTTCCAAATCTCAAATCTCAGCGAACAGTATGGAAAGGCATGTAGATGGGTAGGTTGGAGGCCATTGCTTCTAGGTTGGAGGCCATCGCTCTTAGGTTGGAGGCCATCGCTATTAGGTTGGAGGCCATCGCTCTTAGGTTGGAGGCCATCGCTACTAGGTTGGAGGCCATCGCTAGTAGGTTTGAGGCCATCGCTCTTAGGTTGGAGGCCATCACTGTTAGGCTTGAGGCTATCACTATTAGGCCAACGCTATCAGGTTGGAGGCCGTTGCTATGAGGTGGGAGGCCGTCGCTAGTAGGTTGGAGGCCATCGCTCTTAGGTTGGAGGCCATTAG